ACCCATTTTCGCAATTCATCGGCATTCCGGAAGCGCGTATCTGCCATACTGACTTGCATGGACCGGAGTAGGAGGTAATCAGAAAGAGCAAGATCCGGAGAGTATGCGGGCTGAACAAGCTGATCCCATCCAACTACTGCAAACTTTCTTAAGGAAATTCTTCACAACATGGGGTCTGGCATGCTTGCGGTGGAACAGCACCTCATGATATTTTCTGGTGATTAACGGCCGCTTTTAGGTGAGAGCATCCTACAAACTGTCAAGTTGGTGTTCGTAGTGGTCAGCAGTAACAGTTTCGTTCGGGCTCAGCAGCTCATAGTACACAAAACCCTTTTGATCCCAACACCAAATGCACACACAGCATTACTTTCTGACAATATGCATTCCGCTTTCGTTGCGAACTCTCGAGTGAAGAGAAACCATCTCAGAAGGTTCGTTGAGATGACGCTTGTCCTCCATGAAAGCATCCGGTGGGCTTCAATGCCAGTTTTCTTGAAATCAAACAGCAGGGGAAGGGCTACCCGGGGAAACGGTTCATCACGTTCCACCAATCAGTCTGACAGCAAAGGGGTTTTGGGGGAAAACTAATCTGTCTGTCCTTAAGTAGATAGCCAATACCCTACTGTACAGAATATGACAGGTTTCCCGCTAAACCTCTAACATGGTCTCCGCAACGGCTCTTGGAATTCGGAGGCGGAAATTAATGCACACACATAATAGGAAGGAAGAAAGCTCGGCGTTAGCCGGGCGACTCGAGTGGTGATTAAATAATTGTAAAGGTGAGCTGAACTGCTCCTCGTGCTCTATCATTGCGATAAGGCGGAGGATAACGTGCAGAAAGCTATTTTGCAGCCTAAATCAGACGACTAATCTTCAATAGTGAAGTTTGTATTTGTTTTCAAAGCTACAGCTCTACTAATGATAGTCTAAATTCCTAGGAAGGCTTAGCATTATATATAGAAAGTATGCCAGACACTGTTACGGATGATCCTTTGAATTTTGAACAGAAACGAGGGTGACTGAGAGCTTTTAGAAAAGTCCCTGTTCTATGAGGCTACTTTCCAACGGCATTTAGTGGATATTTCTTTCTATTAAGAGTTATGGGGCGACTACAACGTTAACTCTCTTCCACTGAAGAAACCACCATCCAACGGCCCAGCGGTATGTAGCGGATTATCCTATCGTGTGGGTGGTATCGCGTAGGTGGTGTCGAGCACAGTTGCGATCAATAATCAGCGCTTGAAATCTCAAATTTTTCTTCTCTGTCTGTGCATTCTTACAACTTCTGATTTTTGTATATCTTGTTAGCATCAATAATAATTAGATAGCACTGTTTCATCGAATTCTGTGTTCTTTATCGTTGGTTGTTCGGCTTTGAACCCCGTTTCGCTTACACGATTGCCAGAACGTTGTGCAGCATAACCTATCTAAGTACCCGAACATTTCGTTACAGCCTTTAATTCTGCGTGTTTCTTCCCGCCGATGCACCAAATTGTGGAAACACTTGACTGCGACGCGGTGAATAAAAATGATTTATTTCGGTCTACGATACACGTTCCAGAGAATAAATTAAGGTAGAAGTCCGGGCATGAGTGGAAACCAGAAGGCGAAGGCTATAGGCCGTCTGGACTTGCGTTGAGAATTGCGTCGAGAATTGTGTCGAGAATTGCGTCAAGAATTGCGTCGAGAGTTGCGTCGAGGATTGAGTCGAGAATTCTGCGTCCTGAATCCACCCCTGAATCTGCTTTACATGATATTTATATACGGTCAGGTTACGTTCCTATTGATGCTAAGAAATCTTTCTCTGTAAACTTAAATGCCTTCGATGAAGCTATGTTTTAAAAACTAAGGTTTCACAAGCGGCTACGAGAATCGGAGCTACGAATGGATGTAAGCCTACCATCTACTCGCCTGGGAAAATGAGAAAAGTCGCATTTCGCGACATTCCGTCCAGCAGCGTTAAAAGGCCCTTTCCATCCTCTCCATCTCGCTCTTTACTTCAGGATACGTTCCTTGAGTAAATTCTTCGAATTTGGGATATTGCAGAGAGCGCGATGGTGCCCATTATCGTTAAGGATCAAAAAATGGAGGGATTTGACTTTCCAAATTATACTACAGTAGAAGCACTCTTCTCTTCTCTTCCCCTTGGACATGTCTTGTTTGGGTCGCAATCTTCCAGGCAAACTGACATAGCTTTCTTCTTTGGACGAAACGGAATCTCTCATCTCCATCTGTCATTGCTGGGCATGAATCCGAAAAGTGCCACACTGATGACCAGAACGTGCATCTGATGTCGCTTCTTTTATTAGGCGAGGTCCGACGAATTTTCCTCTATGGGAGGTATTGATGGGCATACTCCAGTTCCCTCAGCGTTTTTTCCAGACGAGCCCACTCCGATTCCGGCTTCCTAATACAAGGTTTCTCATTGGAGTTCTGGATTGCTCCATCCTCATCATCCCATTTCCCTTCTTCCTTACTGTTTTCCTCGATTAGTAGGTCCATGTACGCGTCATCAGTAAGAGTTTTCTCTCGCTCTTCTTCTTTACGTATCATTTCTCTGAAAATGACTTCTGTACTGGCCTGCTCGCTATTTTCCATTTGGAGCCGGTTCTTGGCTTTGGCAAGCTCCTTCTCTATAACTGCTATGTGTTGGTCCAAGGTCTTCATGTAGCCGTAGATTATTGGGATCAGCCCCCTTGCGTGCGCGTCGTGATCCGTCCCGTCTTCGAGCCACTTCGTTCTCTTCCATGCGGGAAGGTCTCCCGAGTCTGTCATCCTCTGATATTATGAGTCGACTGTCAGGAAGCGTTTTCCCCATCCCCACATTGGTTCTCTAGCCACCAAGGCTGTTCTCAAAAACCTATCGATGAGGAGAACTTGTTCTCCTGCTCGGGCCCCTTCTAATATTTTGTCGTCGAGATGGTGCTTTAGTGCTGCTCCTAATGTTTTTACTACCTTGATTTGGGCGTGGATCTCTCTGAGGCTGTTGGCCAAGTCCTTTTCCAGCATTTCAGCTGAAGTTTGGTCTATATATAAATTGGACAGGAATGACATCTCGGACAGGTAGTCCGTTGACATAGTCGGTTATTGATGCTGAAAAAAGAGAACTTTCCAGTTTCAACCGAAACACTTCACAAATGAATAGTGAGGGTTTACAAGTAAGTCAAAAACGCATCCCTGTATGATGTTCAAATTTATTGACGTTCTGATCAGAATTGTGATAACTTCATGGTTAATGAATGTCTAATGAAGCCTTAATCGAAATTTCTGTGGAACGGTTAATAGTGACAAGTGTTGCTATTCCTTCGTTTTCCGAGGATGACTCACATTTTTCCTCCACATAATCGGATAAACTACCAGCACTCAATTTTTTGACTCAGAGTAGAGATTCGACAGCAGAATCATACGCGACCTTGCCAACATGTTCAAGGTGCCCTTTGAGTAGGCTGCAACAATCCGCTTTTCATACGACGCGGAACCGTTTAGACATTGCTGTGGACCCACCCTAACATCTGCTACTGGTCGTATCCCCCCGATTACAAGTGAGGACGTCACTGGTAAATAAATCCGCCAAAATCATGCATTGTTGAGCAAATTCCCTAAGAAGAACGTGTCGAGAGGACTTTGACGTTCAATCTGTTGCTCATACACTACCAATGGCTGTTATACGAATTCCTTTCGTAGAGAAACTCTGGATTTTGAAAAATTTTGAAAATTTCTCATTTTGTATGCGTCCTTAACTGAGTGGCATATACAAAACAAGAACGCTTTGTATCAACAGTTGAACTGCTTCTTCAAAGCAAACAAACTGAATAATCGTGGAGCAAATTGGAACGATCAAATTTAATTAATCATAGTGCATTCCTAACAATATGGAAGAGGCAATAACTCATTGATAGAGCCTTTATTAACACATTCCTTTATCAAATTTGACATATCTTAATGAGCCATGAGATTGTCATCCAAATTTAATAATGGTACTGCAAAGTATAAAAAGCCTAGCCGGCACCAGCAGTGTCAGTACACATGAAAGTACTTCAGATTCTAATACTTGCCATCCTATTAATCGGCTGTGGCGCCTTCCACACCCGCTCAAGCCGTCAACGCCATCCTCCTCAAGGTCACCATGGAAGAAGGGCTCCGAACCGCAATGTTGGTAGAGCTGCCCTTTTCAGACAGCCCGCAGTACCCATACAGGTGAATAATTTGATTTTGGAAACTGACTTTTCGATGCTACCTCCGATGCTACCTTTAGATTTTAAAAGAGATGTGAAAAAAAAACTTTGAAATATCCTGATTTCTACATACTCAAAACTGTTCCCGAAGACTTCCTGTATACTGGTCAAGGAAGTCGTCCGACGAAAAGTGATAAATCACTAGTGTTTTATTCCTTCTCAAGTGAGCTAGCGAAAGGGTCGGCCTTCAGCGATTTTTTAGCAAGTATCTAATGTTTATAACCTATGAAGTACATTAGTAAGGTATCACGTTTTTCCTGTAAATATGTGAAGTAGGTAACCGAATCATCTTTTCGACCACCGCTAACTTCTTGACAGTAATCCCGCCTGCAGCTGAACTGCTGTTCCACCATAAATCGTAATTTAAACTCTGCCATTCGATGCTTGACTTCATCCACTAGCTCTTTTCGCGTAGTATAGACTGGATAGCCGCTTTCTCAGCCACAACTTGGGTCCGTTCTCCATCTCCCCATACGCCTCTTTTCCACCATTACCGTTCGACAACCCCATACCACGCTACTGTTGCTAAAGCTCATTATAAAACTGACGGTGGGCGTTGGATTTTAGTGGACGCTGTAAGAGCTCAAAATCAAACAAAACTGAGGGCCTTAGCCAATGCCATTCCCTACTATTTCTGTGGTCTTCTAGATGTCTGCATATTTTTATATAATACCATATTCAAATATTTCTCACTTTAGTCCGCTCCAGTGCGTCCTTTAGAGGGAAACATTTTCGTACAGGAACCGTACTTTCCTCGTGAAATTCCGCTTGCTCCAAAAGGACAAAAAGGTAAGAGCCTTTTGTTTTCACACTTCACAACCAAAAGACTGCAGTATTATGGAATAAAAGTAATCTGCTAAAACCGTTTCATTTCCACGTTTCAGACTGCGATGAATGCCCATGGATTTCCACTACGAACTGCAGAAGAGGCCAAGCTAGCTGCGTACAACCCCTCATAACGTGAGTTGATTGCTATCAATGACGGTTCGTTCAGTGAAACCGGAAAAACAGGACTGAAGGTCATCGACAAATCGCATTTTATTTGATCCTTTCAACAGTAGTGTGACTGTCGATATGTTTATAACTCGGAAGATTAGTTACTGCATAGCCATCATTTCCTTTTGTGTTCATTATCTCTTCGAGACGATTAAGCCATACCATAACAAGTACCGACATAAGTGAAGGTCGACTATCTCAATCCAGGTAAGGTAGGTGGGGATGGAGGGATGGAAGAGAGGGAAGAGAGCGGAAGGCATATAACTCTCCAAGGGAGATCTGAAACACCAAACTCAGATTCATTCCGCGAATACGGGCTTCTAGAAAAGTTCCTGCAGTTTCCGAAACATTAGATCGAAATTTTCGGAAATTTCAAAAATCGATAAACCTCAAAAAGAGTATCTTGACTATCGGAGAAGTTCACACAATTACGGTTTTATCCATAAACCGAACCTTCCCCTGATGCAGCATTAAAGGAACAGTTACGTTAGAAACGATTTCTGAGATTTTCCCTTGGATGAACCTGTGACTCCCAATGGGCTAAGGGTCGAAAGCAGCCAAAATAGGGCGTAAGACCGGCCTTTAAATTGGCTTAATCGGCGTCCGCACCCAAAGCGGACGAGTTCCCAGGCTTTGTACAAGAGAGATTGCGCAAGATTCGCACCGGAACCAACACCTTGCACCCACGTAGCTTGCTGCAACTGTATGCAGTGAAGCGAAAATTCGAACAACTCGTCCAAAAACACCCTCAATGCAACTTCTGCCGTCACATTCTCAATCCGCAAATCCAATCCCTAATTTTGCTTCTTTCTCGAAGCCCTATGTTCCTCTAAATTCGTCGATTTCGGGTTTTTTCGCATTTTTTTTGCAATACTCGGGACTACCACATTCATTACTCATCTGAATTTGGACATCCCAAAACTAACGTGAACTGTGCCTTGAACGTGACGACTAGAAGCGGCTCTCTCCTGCCACTTCAGCGTAAACGTTTGTCTTGTGATGTTTCAAAGTTACATCTTGCTGAAAGAGGTCATACATGGGTTTAGGGGCTATAACGATAACAGTAAACTCAGAAAGAGACTCACAAGGGAAGGGTATTTGGTCGCAGCGGCCCTTCACGTTGAGACGTATACCGACGTAAGTGTTTTCGAACGCTAATTTCAAATTCGGGCTCCAAATCTGCGAAACGATCTTGGGAACAAACTTATGAGTCCTTTTTTTTTGCCGAGTTTTGCTTTTATATGCGACCCGAGCAGTACCGGAATGTGTAGCAATGACCGTGTTGGGAGGATGATGGACTGCTAGGGATGACGCGGAGGTTCAAACCCTTGATGCATTTGCTTGTTTTGTTTTGTTATAAAAAGTGCCCTTAACGCTTGCAAAACACATTTACGCATCATATAGACCGCATACAGCCCATGACGTGGAGGATTCGACAGGAACTCACGACCAAAACATTCAATCGTTCAAAGTGCTTCCACATATTACCAGCAGTTTGTTCTGCCCAAAGTGGTCGTATCGCATTTGTTCCCCGCATCGAACTGAAGATCAGGGTCAGTAGAACCCACATGATGAGCAGAGAACTTATTCTGGATTGGGTTAGATCATGCGTTGGATCTACAGATTTGCCATCAACCCTAACGATCGTCGAATCATGGGGCCCGTTCCATTTTCTTCCCAGGTTTGGGAACGGGGAACCACTTTGGCTCACTGAATTAAATGAAAACTTTTCAGGTACAACAGAAGAGGGTGTAGCGGATCAGCGACAGTGCAATGCACCGCCTCGGGCCGTGATATCACGTTGGCTATTAAAGGAGGAAGAGACTGGATGCAGCTGCAATCTTCTCCACTGATAAGAGAACAACTGTATTGCAGGGAGGGCAAATGGTACACTAGTAACGGCCTCCCTTTCGACAAAATAAAATGCACAGAATCCCCTGTTTCGACCACTACGACACCGATTACCACTACCGAAGCCTCACCAACAACCTCAATGCCGAAGACAACAATTGAATCCACATCGACAACCACGACGCCGACCACCACTACCGAATCCACATCGACCACTACGACGCCGACGACAACAACTGAATCCACGTCGACAATTACCACGCCGACGACAACAACTGAATCCACCTCGACCACCACGACGCCGACGACAACAACTGAATCGACATCAACAACCACGACGCCAACTTCGGCATCTTCCTCTTCTTAGGTTGCCGGCGGCAACTGCTGAGTCTGTTATGTCAGAATGCTATCATTATACCATTTTACATTGCTTAAAGTGTTCACTAGCACTCGTTGTTTTCTTGCATTCTTCAATGATTCTATTAATGTGATTCACGCCATATGTGGACCCCGAACAAAGGAGGCCTAGAATATCCCAATCCCGATACAGAATATCCCCATTTCAGAAAAGCCACAAATGGTGATACTGTGTTCTTTCTTGAGAACCATTCAAAATGAACCATTAAGAGAGCTCCCTACCACGCTTGCCTGGTTGCGAAAATAGCCCCATCAGCAGCCATCAATTGACTGATTCAGTACAGGTGTACTGTAAAGGGTTCTCAGACGACACAGTAGTATGGGGTATACCCACACTAGTGTGGTCGTGTGAGTGGGGTATCAGATATCGCACTCAAACAGCATACCGCTCTTGTTGCACCAGCTAGCATGCAGGGTAAGATTTGACCTTTCGTAGGGTGGTAATGTAATTGCCGCGGAGAAATCCCTGCGTGCTGTGTTGACTCAGGAACAAATTTCATTACCCTAACAGTTGCAATATACCTAGACTAGATTAATGAGCATTAGATTAAGACGCAAACTGTAACGAATCTGGTCTGT